AACGATGGTTGAGCAACATAAAACTTAGAAAATATCATGTGACATATATGAGTGCTAAATCCCAAAACGACTTCATTCATTTGCTTGGACAAGATGTTCAAAGCAAAATTGTTTCCGAAGTTAACCAAGCATCGATGTTCTCAATTATGGCAGATACAACTCCTGATGTGTCACACAGTGATAAGTTAGCAATTGCTGTAAGGTATGTAAATAATAACTGTAATATTAAAGAAAGAATTGTGCAGATATGCGAGGTAGCTGACAAAACGGGTGACGGAATTGCAGATTTAATAATATCGAGAATCAATAACCTTCAACTTGATGTCAATAGTGTTGTGTTTCAAGGATACGATTACGCCAGCTCTATGTCCAGCAACATTAAAGGAGTTCATGCAAAAATTTCAGAAAAGTTAAAAAGAGTTGTATCTTATATTCCATATCAAGCTCATCGAACTAATACTTTTGTTGAACATGCGGTTAAAAGAAATAAAATGGCTTCAAATGTCTTTGAAGTTCTTAAAATGTGCTACGTATTTATTTCTTCAAGTACTAAACAATTCAGCTTACTTAATTCTAAACTTGAGTTTATTGAAAATTCCTTGAAACTTCGCAATCTTTCAAAAACTAGATGGTCAGCGCGTTCAGAATCCATTCAAGCATTTTGGATAAGTATGGAATCTATTGTTGAATGTTTTTATGAAATAAGTCAGTCCGATTTATTTGATAAGAAAACAAAGGATCAAGCTTTAGCAATACTTAAAAAAATTGTGAATCCAGACTTTATCATTATGCTTATGCTTATCAAAGGAGTCATTGCAAAAACAAAGATTCTTACTGATGAGTTGCAGAAAGTTGAGTTGAACATTTTAGATGCTAAAAGGATTGTATTGTCTACAATACAATCTCTTGAACGAAATAGAAAAGAAGAATTTGAAGTACATCGTGAAATTGATGCAGCAATTAAAATATGTAGCAAGTATGAAATCGATGCGTTAAAAATATACGAAGATCGCCATAGACGAAAAGTAACTCCAAAACGCTATGATGACAATTCTGATACGCTATGTTCTAGAAATATCTATCAATACTACACCCAACAACTTAATTGCGTGTTAGACTGTCTTATTTACGAAATGAATGAAAATTTACTGGCTTCATGGTTGAGCATTGAACCATTTTCTCTTCTTCAGCAGTCAACAAAAACCTTTACAATAAAAGATGTTGAAAAACTGTGCCTATTAATGCCAAATAATGGAGTAAATACAGATGCTCATTTATTTCATGCAGAGTTAGAAATTTTTATGAACACATTTACTAAATCTGATGCTCCAACAAACAATGAAAAATTAAAACTGTCGTGGCAAAGACAAAACATATTCCCAGGAGTTTTCAAAGCTTTCAAGCTAATAGCTTCAGCACCAGTGTCCGTTGCAAGCGATGAAAGAACATTTAGCAAATTAAAAATTGTTAAAAATATTTTGCGTTCTACTATGTCAGATGCAAGATTGGAGTCATTAATTTTGTTGGCGTCAGAAAAAGATTTAGTGGACAATATAGATCTTGACGTGTTGGTAAAAAAATGATCTATAACAAAACAAAGACGTATTCAAATTGAGTAATTGATTATGCAGTTTTGCGTTTTATACGTTAAATTTGTTGTTGTTTGTATATGCTTTTGAAATACTGTAAATTTCATTTGCATTGTAAAATTTATATAATCTTTCAGAAAAAATATATTTTATTTCTTTTAACGTGTTCAGGTAGTAAATTAAGAATGCAATTATGATTTTGAAAATTTTTCCGAAAAAAATCCTTTTTTCAAAACAAGAAAAATTTTTGTCGGTTAATTTGACGATTGCACCCCCCAGTCTTTGTATGCTAGATACGGCCCTGCTTGCGACCTAAATGGTGTATTACTGTTGGTGCCTCAGGAACACATTCTGTATGCGTCTGTGCTATTCATCAGAATTTGAAACTGCTTTTACATCCTCTTGGTATGACATACAAAGAACTGTTACCTTATATTGTCAGTGATATAACTAATAAAGACTGTATGATGAGGAAATGTGAAAAAAGCCCAGCAACTATGAATGGTTAAAAAACTTTATGATATACTTGGAGAATTTAAAGATGATGATGAGATTGAATTTGATCAATGGACAACAACAGATAGGTCAAACTTGACATATAATAAAGAGCCAGTGTTTGAATACATTGACCTAGTATGTAGAAAACTGGAAAAACTTGCACCACATTCGTATTTAGCAAAGAGTCAAGCATTATACCCGAGATCAAGAAAGGAAGATATGAATGAGGTAACAGCATTATTTCTGGGTGATTTTTCAGAAAACTATAAATTTGTAGTTCAGGAAGAAGTGCAAAGCTTTCCTTGGACAAATTTACAATGTACACTCTATCCAGCGATTATTTATTTCTAAATTTATTTGATATAAATTATTTCAGTAATTTTTTATTGCATAAGGCATAAATTTCATATATATTTCATCAGAAGGTTTAACTTTGGTGAGAACCGCTCTTAAAAAACGATTGGATACTGCTAATACAATACCTGGAGCACGTAGTTACCATCAGTTTGTACCACTTGGCCATCAAAAGGTAAATTATTATTTTTTAATTACACCTTTTACCATATTTTAAAATACACGCATAACTTTTATTAATAAACTCAAATAGATATTAGATTTTTGGAGAATCATTATCAAAGATATTTGTATTTTATTTTATTTCCTCTGCATTTGCTATCTATGCATTTAATAAAACATGTTTGATAAGTAAAACGGAATAATTGCATATGTAACTATTTTGTTTAGGTAGACACTAAGCTATGCAGTGTTGATGAAGAATTTGCTTTAATTCATGACTTTGGAAATATCCAGATAACAACTGTAAACCTTGTACCAGGTGATTATGCCTGTGTTTCCTATGAGCAAAAGTGGTGGATAGGAGTCATTGAAGATATTAATTTAGAAGAAAAAGATGTGCTTGTAAAATTTATGTGTCCTGCACGGTTCTGCACGGTCGTTTAAATGGCCACCAAAGGAAAGCCAATGCTGAATTCCTTATGTCCACATTATTTGCAAAGTTGAGGTACCGATAACAAAAACAGGACTTTGCTACTATTTAGCCGAGAGGACTTAAAAAAATTATTTTCCTAAGGAAGTAGAGATTTTTATATTTATGAGTCTATTATGTTTTATCCATTCTTTTTTTAAATATTATGTTTTGTGAACCAACTTGTAAATAATGTGAATGTAAAGCATATATAAAATCACTAAAGTTTAGTATTTTAAAAAAAAAATTTATATAGGTTTAAATTTTGTTGTAAATATCATATGAAAATGAAAAAGATAATAAAGTCACTAAATTTTCAGTTTCTAATTTGATTGATTGGTAAAAGGTGGGGTTATATAAAGTGTCTAATTTAAAAAATTATTAAAAAATTTTGTGTCCATATCAAACATCAATAATTCCTCAAGTAAATATAAGGCCAAAACAAAATTGGTTCGAAAAGTAGGTGTTGATCTTATTTTTAAGAAAATTGAAACTAAATTTTTTTTATATCAGCCAGATTTTTTTTATAGCTATGATTGTCAATGCCCTTATTTCTCGGCTTTATAAAGTGTATTTTATGGATCTTAAAATAAGCTATATTCCGTTTTGACATATAAAAAACTATAGTTTTCGGATTTAACAGGTTTTAAACTCTTTTGGTACAAAGTTTCAGAACTGTGGCATCACTACAAGTACCATATTAAGGTGAAAGTAAACGGAATGATTTTCGGCACTTTTCCCTCCTCAGTTTTTAGTCAAAATGAAGGAAACTTCAAATTGCTGTAAATTATAAAGTGTAAGGAATTTTATGAAAAAAAATTACAATCTTTCCTAACATATTTCTATAAACATTTGTGCCAAGTCTCAAAAATTTTGGTGATTCAGGGTGCAGATTTGTGTTTTTTGAGAAATTTTTACCCAATACTTGATATAGAGAACTTTTTTTAGAAATTGACGATCGTGCCCCCTCCCCCCTCACTTAGAAACCCGTGTCATTGCATTGGTCCTGAGAACAATTATTTACATTAAAGCAAAAGCCAAAATATAGAAAAGATTAATGGTCCAAAGACAATGCCATGTCCACTGAACTTTCAAAATTTATAGGATAAAGTAAAACTGTGACTCTTTCCATAGAAAGTTTTTGAGAGAGCGAAGTTTTTAAACTAAGCAAAAGCTTAGAAACCTAAACTTGTATTTTAATTTTATTCCAACCACTTAGGTTACCACAAACTAGGCGTTTTAATAACTGAAGTTGTTAGATCATTTTGTTTACCTGTAATTTTGAATGTGGAGTTTGAATTATAAAAATACTTTTCAATTTATACTTAGTTTATATAACTCTTTGAATTTAATTTAAATTTTTATTAAAGTAAATGCAAATAATTTTCACACTTTTTTATAAACAAGTTTTATTTGCTCATTTCTTTAGAATATTTATAAAAAAATTATAGTAATAAAATCTTTTTCTCAAATCATTAAGTCAGTTGAATGTGGTTATTTAGGTTATACTATAATGTAATAAACCCGTTACGAGGATGTTACAGTTATATAAAATTTGCTTCAATGACTGCGCTTTTATTCAGGTTTCTTTGTTCAATAAATTTGAAAAATAAATAAGAATGTTTTACCGTTAATAATTTCAAACATTTACAGTTTAGATTAAAAACTTCGCTCTCTCAAAAACTTTCTATGTCTTCAAATAAAATTAGTCTTCAAATAAAATTGAACAAGAAGAAATCGGTTTTTTCAACCAAAAAAAAAAAAATTGTTTATTAAGACATAATTTGATGAAAAATAACGGTTAATATTTTTTAAGATCTAAGGCGACAGTAGTAAAAGATTTATCTTTTTTATTCGAAATAACAGTTAATATAAATAAATATTCAATTCATAATAAGATTTATACAATTGGATTAAAATTTTTATAGGTTTTACATGGAGTTAAAGGTTATATATTAAAGACTATTTTATTCAAGAAATCTCCAGACAAATAACCTAAACTGATAAAAAATATCTAAAGAAAAAGACGCATTGTGGTATGCTTTATGATGAACGATAGATTCTTGTTATGATGACGGTAAGTTATAAATTTATTTGTTGATCAGTTAGTTCAATTTTTTAATTAAATCTTGACTACCATCCAAAAATCTATAACAGCTCATAGCATTATTTCTCAATTTTTTCTGAGTTTTATTTTTATTTTACGCATTTTTCAGATCATGAGAACATACTATATTTTCTTCGTTTGTGTTTGCTCTTTTTTAACCCAAGTAGATAATAAACCAATTCCAAGCAGCAACGTTTCTCAAAATACAGACTCATCAGTAAATAAAGCACATGTTTTATCAATAAAATGCGCTGCTCGCGTTTTGACGAAAGCATCCAAAATGATGACGTTTTGCAACAGGCAAAGTAACAGAGACACGTGCTTGGCTCCTTCTTGTAACGAGTATATAAATGCAACACCGGAACAATGCACCGAGTTTGAAAATGTGTTTAACTACCCAATGGGACCTTATTGCTTAGCACTTGCTAGCTTTATGTTGAATATCAACACTCATGTTGCGTACAGAAACTGTTGTTGACCAATGTTTTCAAATTGATCAAAATTTAGAAAATCGTCAAATGACAAAACACAAAA